ATCAAATCCTGACACCTTTCTAATCTTATCCTAGAAGTTAGGCGAATGTCTATCATTCCGTAATAACATACCGAGTGTACTTCCATCTTTGGAGACTCAAATAATTTACGACTGACAGGTGGGAAATGTAATAACTAACTTCTCCAAGATATTTTTAACAAAGGGTTGACAGCAGTAGATGTTAACGTTTAATAAATTTGCGATTTGATGCAAAACGTGGGCGTGGAGATAATTTCATGCTAGTCTGAGAGCTCTTGACACCGATCTCTTGACCCGACATTGGGTCGAGGATTATATATTTTTATCCTACAAGTGCTGTGAATGGTATGACACAGCTGTAGACATACCGCGAATGTACTTGTTTGGTAATCATGTGTTACGATATAAAAATGAAGATTTATCGATGTATAAGTAAGGAAATCAATATGGAGTCGAAAATGCAACTACTCTGCTCACTGACCTGCTATCTGGCGAGCTAACAAGAGATCATATCTACCTCGTGCAAGTCGAATTCGATGAAATTCATGTGAGACATTGTTCTCAAAAAATATTTCACGCGTATTCTCTTTTATCAAACATCGTTCATGCTAAAGGGATGAAAACAACCCTTAAAAATAGGGGTAGGAAAATAGTAGCATATCTTGAAATATCTTGGAAGCAAAAGGATTAGAGACAAACATTTCCCCTGAAAAAAAATATACCTTTTCTAAAATGCAGCTATGTAGAGATTTTTAACACGTTGAATGCCGTGGATGTCACCGGTGACCCCGGCACTGAACTTGGTAGTGGCGCCACGGGGGCTATCGGTGACCGGGGCGCCCAGATTGATAGAAATATATATAATTTAGACAAATATCGATATTTAGAAATTTTTATTATTACCATCGTTAATTCAATAGTGCCCCCATCGCAATTAACATGTCAAACATGGTTATACATTGTAACTTATCTACTGCAGATAATATTTTAACATTATATTATATGTATCGCATAATACAAAATTCATCGTGGTGTCACGAGCAATCCCTGTAAAACTGGCGTGGCATTCAACGTGTTAATAAAAATATTTTTATGGGACTTTACAAACTTTCAAAAAACAATTACAGATGATTATTGATTGAAGCTATTCCTCTTGAACAAAGCGTTTATAAGCACGTGCCTTCGGTGTTACATTATGTATAATCTGTTTGCTTTTCTTTCATATGTTAAATGTTATGTTAATGGACTACAATCAGTTTATAAATAAAATAATAATAATAATAAAAATGAATTTGTGCCTACTTTTCTTAAAAATATCAAATTACTTTCTTCTATTTCTTCACATAATGGATATCTTTGTAATATCGGTATTTTTAATATTCTCGAAATTTAATATTCTCCACTTCCTGAAATGAAATTTCTCTCGAGTTATTACACGCCACTACGCTTTTCTCGGTTTTTACGAATTTCTGGAGGCTTGAAAACGAGCTGCACGATAAAATTTTTGCAAATTTCTGCAAAACCGCAAGTTAACTGCGCGAGTTCTTTGCCTCGCGATTAGATAGAAGCCTCGTGCTGCGACTTCAGTTCTAATTTTGGGTTATTACACCGTACTCCAGGTAAACAACTTTCGTGCATCGTTAGCCAAACTATCAACCGTAGGAGAATCCGTTGGATAAGTATCCACGCGTGTTAGCTGAAACTTTTAATAGCAGATGCACCTTAACCAGGTCACCAGGTCTTCGTGCCATCTCTTTTCATCCTTTACAAGCTGCACTCGTATATAGCCGGCTCTCGAGCATTTTCTGCAAATCTAGACATCAGCGTTTCTCGCTAACTTCGTAACGTTGTGCCAGTCACAAGTGCCCAAGATGATTCAAGATTCAAGATCAAACACTCGGGAAGCGCGAAACACGTGAAAGTGGAACAGAAGGAACTATGATGGAAACAAGAAATAGCGAAAACAATGTCAAGTTAGGATGTTACGTTTGTTACGCTTTTGTTGCTTGGTTACTCTATTTGCTTTGGTGATTAGGTTCAGATGTAGTCTCCTAGTTAGATGCGAGTTAATAATAATTTACATTGCATAAAAATCAGTCGGTTATCTTCTTAATTATTTAATGCTATTATTGTAAGATTTGAATTAATGATAAATATATTACACCTATATATTTACTGCAATATTCCCCAAAAATTCGCGACTTAGGAAAAACACCAAATAATTTAATGGTATTATTGTTATTGTAGATGGGAGTTAATAATAGTTTACATTGCATAAAAATCAGTTAATTATTTTATTTATTATTTAATGATATTTTGTTAGATTTGAATTAATGATAAATATATTATACATTTATTACAATATTCCTAAAAATCTGCTATAACTTAACTTCAGTCTCTCCTACCTTTGCCTAACAGCCCAAGTGAATCGACAATTAAATTTACAATTAAATCAGTGTAAAGTAGAATTTATAATTAAATTTGTACTTAACGAACTATTAAATTAATGTAATAAATCACCCACTCATTTAAGGGAGCAGGATAGTCTGACGCGTTGAAAAAGTAGTGATATTTTAAAGAACCGTAAAAGAAAAAGCCAACACTTGATTGGTATAAGCTTTCGCGATTTAATTAAGCATATTATGAACTATGAAAAACAAGGTTAAGTTTTTTAAAAAAAAGGTCCCTGATTTAGCTTGGCGATGTCGTCGTTCTGAATTACATTTTTTAAAAATGGCCAATGGGTGTGCAGGATTCCAACCAAATGGCGTTAGTGGCAAAAAAATTACTATAGTAATTTATAGTACTTATAGTAATTAAATATAATTAGTATATAGTTATAAGTATGTTATAGTATTAAGTATATTAGTATTTATATAATTAATATTTATAGTAATTAACTATAGTATATTATGTAGGTACTGACGTTCGAACATTTCAATTTTTATGAAAATTATCAAAATGGCAGCTATTTATAGTTGCTCTATCGAATTTTCACAAAATATTTCTGCGTTTTTTGTTAATATTTTTCGATACAATATTTGTTAAGAATTTTTAAAAAGTCGAGTGCCATTACCTAATCAATGGTATAGTAAATATACCTGAGAAGTTTCAAAATAATCCGATGACTGGGTCTCGAGGTATATTGCACAACAATTTTGAAAACACATTTTCGAGGAAAACTCGTTTGAAGTTTCGCAACGTAATTTTTCATACGTATCTTTAATTTTTCGCTAATTAATCATTCCTGTCGCGAACATGTGAATATCTGCTTCAACTCTAACCTATTGCACGGCTGATAGACTGGATCTACCAGCGATTGGATCTTTCTTAAAATTTTCAAACGATCGTTTATTGGCTGTTTTAATCCCTTCTTAATCGAACGTGTCGCATAGTGCAGCAGCTATAAGTCCCATGACCGTGTCTATATTGTTCATAATTAATATCAGATACTAGGAAAGTCTGTATTGAAAATATTAGTGTAATTAAACAGCAATTTTCGCGTTTGTATTGACCCTAAATATACTTTTTGGAGCTAAATAATGCCAAATAGTATTATCAAAGTTTTGGCTTCATTTTAGGTTAATCCACCCAAAACAAACTAAAAATAGACATACATGATAGCAAACTCTCGACTTTTCCGATGTTACGACCTTTAGTATCGGTTCCATACTGTTGACTGTCACGTCAAGTCATTATCCAGGTACCCATGTGTCATGGCACGCAAGCCATAATGGTTTGTCCAAAAACGGTTTGTTTTAACCCATTTGCATCGTTACATGGAATAATCTGCACGCAATAACTGTTGTTTAGCTATTTCAAGTTTATTTACCGTGCAGTTATATAAGGAAATAAATATTTATATTGTAACATCATGTAAAATGATTTTATTTTAAAATGTGTATAATTTTTGGATTGAATGTAAACAAGAGTTGATTCGTTAGACTTAATTTTCATCAAAAGCTTAAAAGACTCTCTTTAGAATGAAAATGCAAGTGGATTAAAGGCTGGAACCTTTTGTATACTAATTATAACCCTCTGCACTTCGAATTATTTTGCAATTTTGTTGTTAATAACACCCTACAATTTTGAATATTTTGTTTAAAATTTTCTTCACAAGATAGTTCTTCGACTGCTACTTATTTTCAAGAATTTTGTTCACTATTATCATTATGTATTGTTACTCTCTTTAACCCTTTGCACTCTGAATAATTTTTCAATTTTGTCGCTAATAACTCTTTATATAATTCCCCATATAATTCACTATACAATAATTTTAAGTATTTTGTTTGAAATTTTCTTTACGGGACAGTTCTTCGACTGCTACTTATTTTAAGGAATTTTGTTTATTGATTATATTAAATATAACTCTTAAATATTGTTGTAATTTGTATTTTAAATTTAAGTAACTCAGTAGTTACTTATTTTCTGTTTTCTTGTTTAGTAAATAAAGAATCGAGAAACCTTAAGTATATCTCGACACAGGAGTTCCCGTGATGAAAACTGATGTCAAGTCACACTTGACAGAGGAGTGCAAAGGGTTAAGACTTCCGACTGCTATTCAAGAAATAAAAATTCGATATTTTCAAAATTTTCTGCCTCCCTTGACACTATAACTACCGATTTGTGATGTCTACCTAAATATGATGTACATAAACAATATTAATTAAAGTAATATGATAATATAGTAATAAATAGGTGTAAATAATTATTCTTTTATCTGAGGAAGGATCAATATTAATTTTGCGAATATCTTTTAATTATTCCAAAAATAAAAAATCCCCCAAAAGTGTATAAATAAACATTTCTTTGAAAGCTACTTCCCATGGAATCCTCAGAAAGGGATAACCCATAAATCCGATTCACAGTCAACGACGTCCCATTAGAATAGCAAAGAAACGCGTTCAGCAAACAGCAGATCATTGTCAAAAAATTTCTGCTTTGTCTTTGAACGACTCGAGGCGAGAACGTGAAGCGTCGTTGAGTGGAAAGCGAGGCATGCACAGACAATCTCAACTCACCGAGCATCTTGACACCCTGAACAGGACTCAGAGGGTAAAAATCCCCATGAAGTGGGCAATGGAAGCCGACCCTACGCTCCCTTCTTCTCGCCCTTCTGGTGAGCATGCACAGCAGTACGCCGAGGGCTAGCATGAGGGCGCCAACGACTATGCACATCGGGCCCAGGATCCGCGAGTTCCCCGTGAATGCGATTCTAGCCGCATACGAGTCCTTGTCTTCATCCTCCCCGGGTCCACGGTACGACGCAGCTGAAACAGAAGAATAAGGGATAGGTGAGTGTCTGTTCCGAGATATCGGCCATTTTCCTGCTTCCTGCTAACAGTTCCTCGACATCTGTCGACGTCTGCTGCTGTTGCTCCCTTGCTTCTCGTTTCAACGTCCAACTCTGAGAAATCTGAGCTGATGCTATAGCTGGTAAGGGATACTTGAAGTGTTATGCTTCGTTTAATGGAACAGTGATTGGCAGGACTTTTATTTGTAAACTGGGAACATCCGCGGGGTGTCAAGTAGCCTGACGTAACTGCTTCCTTGTGATAGGTTATAGAAAAAGATATGACAACTTCTCCGAGTTTTGGGAGGATAGTCTACTTACTTTTAACTGGGAGTTTAAATGAATGGACTCTTAACTCCATTTCTGTCAATAGGTAAAGATTGGGTTACTCCTGTCGCATATTTTTGGTTATTTTAGGCTTGTTTAAATGGTTCATGTAGTGGAACAGGTGTCAAAATTCTTGGTTAGATAGTAAAATTTCAGTTGCCATCATTGGAAATAGGAAAACAAACGAGAATGTTACAGGAAAATACTCAGAAACCTAATAACTGTCACTTCATTTTCGTCTTATCCCAATTTAAAAAGCTGGAAGTCCCTATCAAAAAGGGATAGGCAAGACTAGTGATAAGTTAGACCACTGTGAGATTAGATTAGCAATAAAATAAGTTAGAGTGAGAGCAGCTTGGTAGAAGGCTAGACAAGGGCTAGATGAGGACAGTGATAAGCAACTCGGACCAGTTGTCAAGTCTTGAAGTACCGTTTCGACGGCATAATTAGTCTCACAGGAAGAATACCATAGTACCGAGCCCGTATCTCAGGCTTGTCAACCATATGTTCCAAGTATATGACGTATGGGGCAACAATTCATCTTGTTTGTCCGAAAACTGTTCCTATCTTCTACCTTTACACTCCAAATTCGACAACTTTCACCCTTCTACTGTCCAATAATAAAATACTTGAATCTACCAATTGTTTGTGTACACTCTAGACTTTGTACCATTCGTAAAAAAAAACACAAGACAGACGAGACTATATCATGCCAACTCTATGCACACTTAGTATCAAATCTAGACTCGAAGACTATATTCACTCCTTCAACATCAAAACATTATCTATCATACACAACATAAAAGATACAGTCCACTAAACACTTCAAAAAACACGCATAATAGTTGTCAACCAAACTAGATCTAGTAACGACATACACTAGTGATAGGTTAGGCCAGTGCTAGACTAGTCCAATATTATAGTCGATTAATACAGTATTATTAACCTAAACTAGAGATAAACTCGACTATGAATAGACTAGGCCAGTGCTAGACTGGTCCAATATAATATTCGGTTAACATAGTATTAAGCTAAACTAGTGATAAGCTCGACTATTAATAAGCTAGGCCAAGGCTACCTATGTCACTGTTAGACAAGAGCAGTGCTAGATTCGGCTAATACCAGACTGGACTAGTATCAAACTAGACTAGCAATAAACTTGATTATCGACAGGCTAGACGAGTAACAGCCTAGACCAGTATTAAATTCGGCTAATACAAAACTGGACTAGCGTCAGACTAGTTCGATCGTAAACTCGGTTATCGATTAGCTCAGCCAGCCGAGTAGGACTAGCAATTTCTACACAAAAACTAGGTATGCCATCAGAAATAAACAAAGCCTCACGATCTCTTTCGCGCATAACCTCGCACGGCCTTCCACCGAATGTTTTGAAAATACCAAAGGCGACGACCCTGCCTCGTAAACTCGATACGCGAGGGCCTTAACAGCATCCTTGTCGCGGTGGTAATTCATCTCTCCCGTCGTTTCAACCCTCTTACTCGATGCTTTCGGAACAGGGACGCGTCAGACTGGAACGATCGTCCCTTTTCTCTCTTTGCCGCTTCCCCGATTCTCTTCCTGTACTAAACGAGAGCTCGTTCGCGCGACGATGGAATTTTTAAGGCGAACCGGGAAACACGGCCTAACGAGGAGATTCGTAATTCACGCTGCTTGGCTGCCTGCAGCGGATACGGAATTTTTGGCTACGTTATTAATCTTTCAAATTTAATCCTGCCAAGTGCTCGCGGCTAAGTTCACGCTTCCGTGAACGTGCACGTCGCATCGGACACGAGCGGGGATACCGTTCCGAAGAAACCAGCCACACCAAAAAGGAGAGTAACAGAGGCTTCGTTGAAGGAGGTCGCCAGAGGGCGTGGAGGTAGACGAGGTGATTTTCAATTAAACAAGCAAGCAGGGAAGCCGATGGTGGCGAGGCTAGCCCGTGCCGTTTCGAACCCATTACGAGGAAATTGCTACGTATCGTGTGAAAATTATGATCCGCCATAATTTCTCACGAAGTACGTTCGGTGTTAATTAAACTCTTTAAAATGGCCGCCGACGCTTATTGCGGAGGTAGGGTGAAAAATCATTTTTTTCAGTCCGATTCTTTTTATGTATATTGCGTTGTTACTCTGGGCTCTGGGAATAAATATGTACATAGGTAGGTATCGGAGTTCGTGCAAAATGAAACTTTTATTCTTCGTCTGAGTGATATATAGGGTGTCGTGTATGAATTTTACTTGGAAAATATTTAGCCGACTATGGTTATTTTGAAAAATTAAATTTTGAGAATACATATATAGGTAGGTAGCTGTTGGGGATCGTGCATGGGGTATCGTTATGAAAATGGTATACAGGGTGTTCTATTTGAATTTTACTTGGAATTATTTATCCAGCTATGGTTGTTTTAAAAAATTGAATCTTGAAAATAGATATGCAGATAACTGTTGGGACTTGGGTCGTTCATACATCAGAACCAGAATTCTTTTTTTATGTGAATGATATATGTACAGGGTGCTTTATTTGAAATTTATTAAAAAAAAGAAAAGAAAAAGAAAACACTGGAACTTGCGAATAAATTCGTAGGTATGTGTTAGTGTACACGTCATTTCTACATCCAAACGAAATTCTCATTTATGTAAATTATATATCTATAGGGTGTTTCATTTAAATCTTATTCGAAAAAAAGAAAATAAAAGAAAATTGGATTTTAGATTATACATAAGTATATATTAGGGTACATGCTATTCGTACATCAGAATAAAAATTTGGTATCGATGGGAATGATATATAGGATGTCCTGTTTGAATTTTATTTGAAGAAAGAAATTGGATCTTAGAAATAGATACGTAGGTATGTGTTAAAGTACATGTCCTTTGTACATAAGAATAAAAAGATTGTATCGATGGAAATAATATATAGGGTGTTTTATTTCAATTCTATTTGACAAAAGAAACTGTATCTTAATGTTGAAATATATTTGTATACTCAATTCATACTTCGCGCCTTAACACTAGATTTACGAAACCCGTCAATTTGACGGATGGGTTGCTCCAACTATACGATGATAACAGATTTAGTTAACTTATATTAAGAGTGTTAATATTGTAATTGTTTATAAATTAAACTAATCGTTAAAAAAAGAAAAGACACGTGGTTTCCTTTACCTGTAAATTTGACAGGTGTCCGTAGAAATAGGTATACAGATAGCGTCTGTAAACCTAGTGTTAAAGAGCCACAGCGTATTGGCAACCATTGAAACTAATTATATGTCGTATTGTAAATACGGCAGGCCTTTGTGGACATAGTGTACAATACTCACGTGCAATAGATCTCTAATAAAATCTACATTAATCGTTATAAACACGTGGTTATATTATTGACATTCTGTTTCAGCTTTCGTCTTCTGATATTATATTAATACTTAGAAATGGATACGTAGATATATGTTAGAATAAACGTTATTCGTACATCAAAACAAAAATTTGGTGTCTATGGGAATGACATATAGGATGTTTATTTTGTATGCACTCCTCTTAAAATCGACTTATCAAAAATTCTGGGCCTTTTTCTCTTCTAGTACTGGTAGCAAGCTCTCTCACCTACTCCTTACTGCTTGCTACTTGTTCAGAAGATTGGTCTAGAATTAAACTAATCAATCGTTATTTTCTACTTTCTCTATTCTCAAATGCTTTCCTTGCTGCAGCTTTTCGAACTGTATAAATTAGAAGGTGAGATTAGAAATCTAGTAACTTATTACTTAGTACCATTTATCGACGACTGGAGACCTCAATGTTTCTCTATGCCTTGGATTTTTCAACAAAATGCGAAACGTCAGGCTTGTGGTTATCTCGAAATCCGATCAATTCACGGTTATTAACTTTAATAATTGTGTACCAAGTAACAGTCAGCTGCACTTCATTAATTGGACATGTGGGATACCAAGAACGTTATTACAGGGTCGTTTCATCAGTATCGTTTGAAGACTATAGAGGAAAGACGGGATAAGTCTATTTTCCTTGATTTTCTAATAATAACGAGACATGACAGAGGACTGCATTTCGCAGAAATTCTATCATAACAAAATCTCGCAAATCACGTGAGTTGCAAGAGCCTATGAACTGACTAGACAATTTCTCCATTCAATTCCAAACGCCAAGATTTCACAGCAACGTTGAATCCTGCTGCCAAATAAATATTGCTAGACTATTCTTCAGAATTCTCACAATTTCAAAGCAGTTTTAAACTTTTAGAAACATGAAAATCTCACAAGCCCAAAAATTCAAAGGAGTTAAAGAAACCCAAGAAAAATCGAAATTTTTGACTTCCTTACGATTCAAAATTCTTAAAACAAGGAAAAATGCAAAATCAGCAAATAATTACCCTTTGCACTCCTTTGTCGAGAAAATTATACTCGACAGAGTTATACTCGACATTTTTTGATTTTTTGTTTACCAAACAAGGAAATAGAAAATAAGAAAAATAAGAAAAATAATTCGGAGTGCAAGGGGTTAATAACAAACATTATAATGTAATATAATGAACATTATAATTAAAAACAGGACAGTCATAGTATTAGTGTTGTCAATGAAGAATCTAAATTAAATATATTACTGCGTTTGTTTAATTATAGTTAACAATAATCTTCGCAAAAATTTCGTCAAACAGTGCTTCAGTTTTCAAAACGAAATATTCCTCTTAAAAAAATTTCGAGAACTTCTACTCTCAAAAATTAAGAAATTAGGTTCTAACCAACCCCTAATAGGCGTCCCAATAAAACCTCAAAAATTTGACAATATTTAGAAATTCTTCGTATCCTAGTACTTCCACGTTCAAGAAATTTCAAAGCCTCCAAGACCCTGAAAAATTTTCACTTCGACTTTCCAACACAGACCTAACCCAGACCTAACCCCATAAGCTAAACCCGTATCCAACAGCCTGCACCAACATGGGACTAGTAAATCCATCGAGGCTACCAGCGCCAGAGACTAGCCTAGAAATTTCAGAGATCAGAGTTTCCACGGATGCTGGAAAATTTTCTTCACGCTCTCGCGGAAGCTTTTCCTCGTTTAACCGGAACACATGGCCGACTGGTTATGACGATTGGTTTAGAGAGAGGCTGGCCTAGCTAGAGGCGCGGAAGAGGCGCAAGAAATCCTGCTTCTCACGAGGCCAGACAGAGAGAGTCAGGGCACAGAGAGCTGATCCGAGATGAGAGCTGATCCAGGCTACATCTCTGCAACTTCTCTGCAGCTCAGGAGTATACCGATCGCTCGTGCAAGCACGTGGGAGAGTTTCAAAGGAACTTTCTTGGGAGCTGCTTCAGGAGAAAGTGATCTTCCTTTAAGGTGATCTTTATAAGGGGAAGAAAAGATGAGGAGGAGGAGGGAATGAGTTGGTGAAGCGAAGCAGACGTAATTCAACTCGTTCTCAATTTCATTGTACGCGAAATCTGAAGAGGGATCTGCACGCGTAGGCAGACGAGGAAGTGCTCGGTGCAATTGGGAGATTCGTTTAATGGAGCAACTAACCTTTCGAGAACGAGAGTTCCTCGGCTTTTAGGGAGATGAATTTTCTTCCGGGAGTATGAAACTGATCTCCCATCTGGGGGAAACAGACTGGTTGAAACGGAAGTTTCGTGTTTAATGCAGTACGCGAGAAAATAATAGCTTGGCTTGTAGGTGTCAATGTTTCTTGACACTGATTCGACGTATGCATATGTTACATATGTTGGCAGGCAACTCGATCGAAATTTATTGGATAATACACTCGAGGCCAAGGTATGTCATATTCTCAGTGACAGATTTTACACGAGTCTTGCATTGGCAACAGAGTTGGACGAAAAGAAATGCTTCTTCGCTTGATACAAAATTGAGATCTACAGCCCACAACGTCTCTAGATTGGCAAGAAATTCCGAATGTATAAGAGAAGTAGAAGAACCGGAAGTGGTCATATATTATAACGAATATATGGATGTTGTCAAACCAATACACGATTTACAGACACCAATGTATATTATTTAATGTATCGAACAACTGTATCGAAGTTTATTGAAAAATATACCCGAGGCCAAGAGATGTCATATTTCCACTGACAGATTTTACACGAGTCCTGTACTGGCAACAGAGTTGCACAAAAAGAAATGCTTCCTCACTTAGTACAAAACTGAGATCTACAGCCCACAATGTGTCTAGCAGGGAACGACATTCCGCTAAACCAATGCACGACATCTTATCTTTTACATCGAACTGTCAGATGACTGTTTAGTCATCTATAGGTGGTTATCTGTGTACATTAGATGAACTCCAAACCGACTGACTTTGCAAAAATATTCCGAAAATAGTAACTTTTTTTTTTCAAAATCTTTATCAACTGCTTTGTCTTGTGCTAATCTTCCCCTGTAAAATCAAATTTGGTTTATAATCAAACGATTCTTTTTTGTTGAGATATACCACTTCGAAGTTATTCGAAGAGTACTGAAAATTATAGTGTGCTATAATTTTTTCACGTTCTGTACATGTTATGCTAATAGCGAATGTGTAAGTGAATCAGATATTGATACTAGTAATGGAAGAATGAATGAGGGTAAATGTTTCTGGGGGAAATTTTTGTGATATTTTCGTTGAAGGGGTAGTCCATAATTATTTTTACGAAATTAAAGGTTTTTTTTCATTGAATTTCTTTGTAGAACCTAATTCATAATTGATAATGACTATATCTTCATGTGAATTTCCTTTGCGAAACTTAATTCTCTAATTCTGTTTTTTAATTTTTTTATTTTTATTTATTTTTTTTTTTTATTTATTTAATTAATATTAATATTAAGAAAATTAATTCGTAATCGAACGAGTGGGTGAATCAAATACTGATACTAGTAATGGAAGAATGAATGAGATTAAATATTTTGGGGGGAAATTTTTGTGACATTTCCATGGAAGAGGTAGTCCATAATTTCTTTTTTACGAAATTAAAGATTTCTTCGTTGAATTTCTTTATAGAACCTAATTCATAATTGATAATGACTATGTCTTAATAGAACCTAATATATAAATTTTCTTTGCGAAACTTATTTTTTTATTTTTTCTTAATTTCGTTATTTCTTTTTTTTCTTTTTAATTAATATTGCTTTAAGAGATTTAATTCGTACTTTTTGTTAATAGAACTAAATGTTCCTTCAGAGAATTCAATATATAATACTTTCTTTTTACAAGTTTGATAATGAGCATGTCTTTATAGAACCTAATACGCACATTTTCTTCGTGAAACTAAATACTCCTCTATGAAATTTAATTTTTAATCTTTCTTCGCTGATGTTTTTTCATGGAATTTAATTCATCTTCCTTGATATAATGGAGTATCGCTTTATGAAATTTGATTCATAATTTTTCTTCTCAAAACTGAATACTTTCCTACAGAATTTCTTTGTAAATCTTAATTCACAATTTTTTCTTGTTTCAATAAACTTGACACTTAATATTTATTTATAGAATCTGAGTCATAAATTTTCTTAATGGAACTGATGTTTGTTCTTGATAGAACTGAATGTTATTTTACGAAACTTGATTCATAATTTTTCTTTCTAAAATTGGATACCTTCTTGGGGAATTTCTTTGTAAAACTTAATTCGTAATTATTTCTTTCTTTAATTCACCTGATAATTAGTATTTATTTATAGAATTTGAGTCATAAAAGTTAATTGATAATTTCCATTTACAGAATTAAATGTTTCTTCGCATGATTTAATTTTTATAATAAATTTCTTCGTGAAATTTAACCCTTCACTCGCCATTTGTTAAAATTTCGAAGATCGATAATAACCCTTTGCACTCTACGATTTTTTGGCTAGAGAAGAGTAGAAATTCAAGGATTCTCTACTAAAAAACTGACGATACTTTCTTGAGCAGTAAATAAAGAATTGTATAATAATAGAATTATAGAGTTATTTGATTTCGATACTTCGCACACTGTTACATTACATTAAATTTGATATACTAATTAATATCGATCTTCCAAATTTTATGAAATATGAGTGAAGCTTACCTCTCGACTGCAAAGGATTAATTAATATATCAAATTTAAAATGTAACGAATTACTATACTATTTCTTATTCACTGCTCAAAAAAATATTGTGAACTTTATAGCAGAAAACCTTCGAACTCCTACTCTACTTTAGCCAAAAAATCGTCGAGTGCAAAAGGTTAATAAATAAAAATATTTATATATTTTTCTTTAAGAGACTGAATATTCCTTTATAGAACTGAGTTTCTAATTCTTCTGTGTGTTACTATCTATCGCCTGACTATTATCTTATGCAACAAATGTAACTTCGTGGAATTTCCTTGTGGAATTTAATCACCTTTCCTTTGTGGAACTTGAGGTTTGACAAGTTTTTCTAACATTCAACAAAGCTTGGATACGCTGTTCCTTAATGTAACTAAACTGGACAGCTAGAAACAGACAACTTTAAATCTAAATTTATGCGTAGACTAAACATACTCTTGGTTTAGGTATACTTCAGAGAGATAGAACACTTAAAATTCCATGCTTCAAATCCATGCCCTAAGCGTCTAATTTTGGACCCTTGTTACTGATATATTGAGTCATAACCCAAAAGATGTTCTCTCCTTTTATCTTTCGATAGAAACCCTTTACTTATTTCAGGGAACAAGATCATTTTGATCAGACGAAGTTTTTGGTCTCTAAAGTTTTAGATTATAATAATTTTTAAGTGAATATTTTGTAATTCTTTAATATTGGAAAGAATTATTTTTCTAATGCGTACGGAGTATATCTGTGTATAGTATTTAAATATATACTGTGCATCAATATTATATGCTTTTTACACGATCAATGTAGAAAATATATTTATATATAGTAAGGTTCTGTGTTAGATATATAGATATATAGATATATAGATATATAGATATATGCGATAATGTAACATCTGTCATTGAAGAACAATAATTATTAGGAATAGGTGATATGAAAGAAATTTCAATAAGAAAGTATTTTAGGATCAGGATTAATTGAATATTAAATAATTAAATAATTGAAAATACTGTAAAGTAGTATTAACCAATTAAATAATTAAAAATACTATTAAGTAATATCAAATGATTAAATAATAAAAAACACTGTTAACTGATACTAAATAATTAAATAATCAAAAACACTATGAAGTAATAATAAATGATTAAATAATAAAAAACACTATTAACTGATATTAAATAATTAAATAATTAAAAATACTATCCAATAATATTAAATAACTAAATAATGAAAAACACTATTGAGTAATATTAAATAATTGAACAACTACGAAATACATGAAATAATTACAAGTGAAATGCACACCAAAGTATGATCATGTTTCATAAAATAAACATTTTGAAACTTTCTTCTTCAGTTAAAATAAAACCTATATAATTTTCGACATAATAAAAGTTACTTTTACAAATTTAGACTATTAATCTATTAATGTAGAACGAAAAATTTGTAATTCGAACATTCGTATTTATTTTTCAAATGTTTTTTATAAAATAAAAATAAAACCAATTATAAATATCATTATTTAAGTCTCTAAACATTTAGAATGTAGAGAAACACAATTTGCTAAAAAAGATGAAGAATTAGTGGGAATAGCAATTATTTTATAATCCCTTGACATATTTATAGACGATATTTCAGTTACTATGAGTAAACAGACATGAATCATAATTCGCTATTAGAAGCACGCGGTTTGAAGTATCATTGCAACTGTTTAAACGAAAGTGATAACAATATCAGTCATAAACTCTTCAGTTATAAAGCTATAGATCTCATAAAATCTTTATTTTTAGCTAGTCTACAAGATGGCAGAGCAGCGACCTCTCAGGCTGTCCTCTCGAACTTTCAAATCGTCTGTGGTTCCACGAAGCCTCAGCTGAAATCTCAACAACTGGAACCACAACTGAACACGGAACTAGATCAGGAGAAGAGAAGAGAAAAGAGTATAACGTGAATCAAATGAAAATTTAATTTTTCAATTTTGAACTTTAATTCTTCACCGTCGAATAGTCCAGGAAAACCATGCTGATTTATTCTAAATAACATTTAAACACGTCGAAAAAAAGGAACACAAATTGAAAAATTATCTAGTACTTATTTATAGTCTAAAAATATTTTAACTATCATTTATAACTGGTTCATTTTTCTAATAACTATAGTATTTTAAAAAGGTAAGCAGATAAAATACATTTCTGATATTTAATACTCCCTTTTTGTACAAAATTGCTGAAGTCTGGCTAAAATGCCCTAATTTCGACCTTTATAACATAATCCTACATAAGGAATTAAAAGAATTAATAATTTACATAAGAAATTAAAGGAACAAATTTTTAATTGACAAATACTTAACACATTTCGAAAAACACAAAACATTTAAATTACCTCAAACACTGCAAACAATAAAGAAATAATTTCTCTAATTTGTCTAACCTAAAGCCTGACATACTATAAAATAGAAAATAAAAAAAAATTAATACGACAAATTCAAAATTAAAAATATACAATCTCCAAGAAAAAATGAGAATCCAACTACTCCTCACCTAACCCAATACACACTAACATGAAAAGTCGCATACAACCATAATTACAATAACGTTGGTCCCTCCGCACCAATGCAAACAAACCCATCTACCTCAAACCTCAACAAACGAAGTCAAAAATAAAAAAGGAGTCATCTCGCCAAACATTTGTACAATTAACAATCTCAGCATCCAAGAACAACGATTTCAAACTACCCGAAATACATTGCAATAATAAAAGAAGAGATACGAACACTCCAAGGAACCCGGCAGACCTAACCTAAAAGAACCCTGGATCAGCTATATATCGGAATCAACGCGAAATTCACGTTGCACTGCTATTCAGAAACTCGTCAACCTTAAGTCCCAATAAGCGCGGTGAAAAATAAGAAATTTCCCCACGATACGTGATGCAAAGATGTAGAGTAGCTGGTCGCCGAGAGTCTGGAAGGAGCAAATGACGGGGAACGAAAGGGAAATGGGCTACAGGACCGGTCTCATCGACAGAGCCAGAGGCAAGAAAAAGAACGGCGGAGGAGGGTCTGGGAAGGACTGACCGGTTTTGATAAATCGGTTGGTAACAACGGTCTGGGCCCGTATCCGAGAAACCGTGGCCAACAAGTAAACAACCAGCTGTTGCCCGTTAGCGAACAGCCGAGCCTTT